TAGAGCAACTCATACAGGCATACACATCCCGTAAAGAGGAAATATAAAAGACGGATTAAAGATGTACTGCGGAGCATTAAGCGAAGGACAGTCCATAAAATCCACAGACAAGGTAGGCGAAGAAAGAAACTTTTACTCTGAAACGTTTATTGAGGCAACACATAAGCTTCATTTCAAAGGGTGAGGTGACCGGCGTTGGGGAAGGAACGCGAGATGAGTTGGGAAACATTGGGAAAGGTCTACGTCCTGTAAGGGAATGTTACATGCTAATGGGGAGGGTAATGATGTTGATGCTGGTGAATATATATATATATATATATATATATATATATATATATATATATATATATATATATATATATTATATATATATATATATAGAGAGAGAGAGAGAGAGAGAGAGAGAGAGAGAGAGAGAGACACACACAACACACACACACACACACACACACACACACACACACACACACACACACACACACACACACACACACACACACACACACACACACACACACACACACACACACACACACACACACACACACACACATACACTCATCATGTCTGTCTGTCAGTCTTTCTTTCTCTTTCCTCCTCCCCCCCTCTTTCTCTCTCTCTCACTCACTCCTCTTGCTTCCTCCTTTCCTCCCTCTCTCCCTCTCTCTTTCTCTCTCTCTCTCTCTCTCTCTCTCTCTCTCTCTCTCTCTCTCTCTCTCTCTCTCTCTCTCTCTCTCTCTCTCTCTCTCTCTCTCTCTCTCTCTCTCTCTCCCTCCCCCCCTCCCCCTCCCTCTCTCTCACTCCTCTAATTCCTCCCTCCCTCTCTCACCTAATCTTTCTCTTATTTCCTTTTCTTCTCGCTTCGCCCTCTCATCATCTATCTTCTTCCAAATCCATTTCTCTTATATAAAAAATTGTGACAGAGGTGTTAAGATCAAGGGCACGGGTGTGCATTGTACGTGACCAAAGGAGGAGTAATTCTCTCTCTCTCTCTCTCTGTTTCTCTTTCTGCCTTTCTATCATTGTTTCTCTTTCTCCCTCTCTCTCTCTCTCTCGCGTTTACTTTCTCTCTTACTTTTTTACCCCAACTGCTCCCTCTCCGCCCTCTCTCTCTCTCTCTCTCTTTCTGCCTTTCTATCTTTGTTTCCCTTCTCCCTCTCTCTCTCTCGCGTTTACTTTCTCTCTTACTTTTTACTCCCACTGCTCCCTCTCCCTCTCCCGCTCTCTCTCTCTCTCTCTCTCTCTCTCTCTCTCTCTCTCTCTCTCTCTCTCTCTCTCTCTCTCTCTCTCTTCTCTCTCTCTCTCTCTCTCTCTCTCTCTCTCTCTCTCTCTCTTCTCTCTCTCTTCTTCTCTCCCTCTTCTTCTCTCTCCTCTCTCTCTCCTCTTCCTCTCCCTCCCTCTGAGAGTGACTCACCGAGTTATTTCCCAGATCAACGCGACGATGTCCACAGAGATCGTCACTTCAAAAAAACGCGGGAAAAGTTGATCATAAAGGCGGGAACTTTTTGTTTGCGATGCAATCTGTTCATGGAAACGGTGGATTTTTGTAACTTTATGTTTGAGACGTAAATTGGCCATGGAGAGTTTTATGACTGAATGGGAATTTATATGTTGATGATTAAGCTATGATGCAGATGAAGGGCCTAAAGTCGAGATGAGGAAATGACATTCGGGAAAAAATATTTTTAAAGATAAATACGTGCTTATCTGTTTATTTTCTTATATCGGTTTGTTGTTATTGCTTCTGATGATATTTACAATGGGAAACGGCGCATTTCTGTAAAACTACTTGCATATGCTATACTCCGTCTTATAACTAAGGCTACCTCTTTTTATTTTGACCCCAACCAATCTTTAAGGTTTAACATCCTTGCAAACTTTTCTTGCATATTGGTTTATTAAATTTACAGTGGGATGAGATCTGGTGTTCGTCGATTGTTTGTGATTTAGAGTTATTGTTTATCACGACCTACAGAACAGTTGTTTACAAGCAAGACTGACAGAACTCGTACTCTAATGCCGATACATCCCTCTATCCACAGCGCTTGTACTGCAAGTGTGTCAGCTGGCACTTAAACCGTGCCAATGACTTCTTAATCTCGCTAACCGCCAGTGGCCCTGTGAGGAAACGTCGGCTGATCAGAACAATGGCGCCCTCGCTTCGTCATGGCAGGCGGACGGCGGGGTTTTGCTGCATAAAGACTGACCGGTCTTTAGGCACTTACGGCGCTCTGCTTTATTGATTTGTGCTTATTCACACACGTCTACAGATACACGTTTTAGTGAGTGAAACACACATACGCACACACACACACACAACACACACATACATATATATGTATATATATATATATATATATATATATATATATATATATATATATATATATATATATATGTATATATGTATGTATGTATGCATTTATGTTTATGTATGTATAAGAATGGATAGGATGAGTATTACGAGTGCTACGGTTAGGAAGAAGAGAAGGAACAAGAA